CGGCTATTTTTTTGTATTTTTTAGTAGAGACGGGGTTTCACCATGTTAGCCAGGATGGTCTCGATCTCCTGACCTCGTGATCCACCCGTCTCGGCCTTCCAAAGTGCTGGGATTACAGGCTTGAGCCACCGCGCCCGGCCTGTGGCTTTTTTCTTAATGGAATTGTTTAGAATTCAGCAGGCTGTATAAATATACTTATTATTTGCTTGCTGATTTTACGAATTACAATATTTAATTAATTTTTATGATTTTACATCAGGCTTTTCGGTATGTGGTATGGAATATAACGGACACACTCCACTCATTAATGTCAAAAGTGCCACCGGGAGCCTTGGCTCATGCCTGTAATCCCAGGAGTTTAAGAGGCTGAGGCGGGTAGATCACTTGAAGTCAAAAGTTTGAGGCCAGCCTGGCCAACATGGTGAAACACCATCTCTACTAAAAATACAAAAATTAGCCAAGCATGGTGGTGTGTGCCTGTAATCCCAGCTACTCGGTAGGCTGAGGCAGGAGAATTACTTGAACCCAAAAGCAGAGGTTGCAGTGAGCCGACATCAGGCCATTGCACTCGAACCTGTTATGATAAAGCTAGACTTCATCTCAAAAATATAAAAATACAAAAAACTTTTTAAAAATGTCACAACATGCCTTTTCTGCGTGGATATAAGTAATTTTATGACAGTTATTCAGAAAAATGCTCTGTTAATTTTTTTTTTTTTTTTGAGATAGAGTCTCACTTTGTCAACCAGGCTGAAGTGCAGTGATGTGATCTCGGCTCACTGCAACCTCTGCCTGTTGGGTTCAAGCCATTCTTGTGCCTCAGCCTCCCAAGTAACCAGGACTACAGGCATGGGCCACCATGCCTAGCTAATTTTTGTAATCTTTTCTTATTCTCTCAGTGCTATGATTGTTTGACAATACAGAATTTCCATTGATTTTGGTTGTCCTTACAGTAGCTTGTTGTGGATTATTTATCGATATAGTATATTGTGTGGTTCTTTAGCCTTTATTTGTACACAGTAAATATGCTGTAAATATGAAGAATATATATTTTTTCTCTTCTTTGATGTGACAGTGATATGTTTTTTGCAAACAGTTATACACCTTAAGTTCACATTGGAAAAATACTCCTTACTTTAGGCTTATACTTGTTTGCCCCCATCAGTGTTTTGTCATGATGTTGGAAATAGGCTTCCGTACAAATGATTTGAAGTACATGTAATTGTCCTTATTTATTAAAGAACCTTACTCCTTTTGTGTTCCTAAACTTGGAAGATCATGTTGGGAAGTTTAAAAATAAGTATTTTTTTTGTGTCATATACACATTTCAGTATTATTTACCATCTGTACTTAATTGGAAACCTATTGGTGTTTATATTTTGTAGCTATCTCTTCCAAATGCACGATGAAGAAGTTCTCATCAACAGGGCAAGGCAATACAGAAGTGATCCACACAGGGACATTGCAAAGACAAGCAAGTCATCACACTGGAGAAAGTTGCTTCCAGGAAATTGAGAAAGATATTCATGACTTTGTGTTTCAGTGTCAAGAAGATGGAAGAAATGGCCATGAAGCACCAATGACAAAAATAGAAAAGATGACTGGGAGTACAGACCGATATGAGCAAAGGCATGCTGGAAACAAGCCTATTAATGATCAGCTTGAATCAAGCTTTCATTCACATCTGCCTGAACTGCACATATTTCAGACTGAAGAGAAAATTGATAATCAAATTGAGAAGTCTATCAACAATGCTTCCTCAGTTTCAACATCCCAAATAATTTCTTGTAGGCCCAAAACACATATTTCTAATAAGTATGGGAAGAATTTCCTGCATTCGTCATTACTCACACAAAAACAGGAAGTACACATGAGAGAGAAATCTTTCCAATGTAATGAGAGTGGCAAAGCCGCTAATTGTAGCTCATT